CTTGCCGGTACTATTCTTGATCCAGAAGGCACCCGCACAGACGATCTCGTTGAACTGGGTGGCATGCTTCGCTGACGCACTGGGTGCTTTTGGTGGAAGTTGTCTGGCCATGCAGTGCGCACGCCGATACTCCGATGAACACTGTGGGATGTTGTCTTGGGGGCCTGCCTGTTGAAGTAGACGATGTCGTACTGCTGGGTCGGGGTGTTTATTGTTCTGGTGAAGTCTCTTGACGTAGCGTGGTGCCTCCGTGCCGACATGGTCTCGTAGGCGCGCGTTCTCGTGAACTTCGCGACTGGAGTCCGAATGCTCGGGTTTGGTGCCATCCTCCGATTGCGCTGGGCCCTCGGCTGCGTAGATGTCCTCGATCTCCGGCTCGACCATGACTTGCGCTGTCGTCGCTGATAGGATGATCGGGTAGTCCTCGGCGGGTTTGGTGCACTGCCGCCCCTCCAGTAAGTCGCGTCCATGTGATCGGTCGCATCACTCGCTGAGTACCGCTGCTATGAGCTTCTTGGTCGTCTTAAGCGTCGTCGGCTTCTTGGCCATGTTCGCGCTGCCCCCGATCGCATGGCCGTGCACGCATCGGTCGCGCATGCTGCGTTTGCCGTGTAGGCGGCTGAAGACCACGGCATGCCGCGCCCTCGACGTAGCTGGATGTTCAGCGTGAGCACGTCGCCCTCCTTGCTGCTGTGTGCGATGCACCTGGGCCACCAACTGCAGATGCGTTCGATGATGCCATTCACGTTGCTCGGTGAGGCACTCCTTCCAACCGGGGCGCTGGCGGATGTTGAGTTCCTGCATGTTGGACCAGGGTCTGCACATTGGTGACTGATGAACCTTGTCAGGCAGCTCCTCCGCCAGCTTCTCAAGGAATGCTTTCTGATGACCCTCCCCTGCGAAATCCCAAAAGGCATTTAGAGCCACAGCGTCTCCACGCGTGCTCCTAAATCTCGAAGTGCTTGTGAAAATCTGGCTTCCCCAGCGTCGACTTCCCATATCGCCCGTCTGGTAGCGCGCCGTTGGTGAGCTACCCTCCTCGTGGTCTGTAGGTGCTGCTCGCTGGCATGCTCAATGGATGGGCCGATCTTCTGAACGAAATTTGTCGAAATCTGCTTGACGCCGTAATCGGGGCGTCGTCGGCGCTGAAACAGACTCCGTCCGTCGCAGGTGACAGTAGGCGCCGGCGTGGCTCCGATAGTGCGGTGTCGACTGGCTCGATGGCTGTCGTAGTGAAGCACAGGTTGCCACATGAGGAATGCCGCTGGCACTGCCACTGCTTCATGTAGGCTTTGCAGCAATTAACTTGTACTACGCGTCGGGAACAGCCTGCTATGTGAGGTCGCCGTTGTGATTGCCCCTGCTGTTGCAGCGTCGAACTCGCCGCCGTTCAACGCAACTGTCTGCTTGGCGTAGTCGACCTGAACTCCGAACACTTCCAGCAACGGCCTCGGCAATAGAATGGGCGTGCTTCCCAGTGCCACGTAGATGTAGAGCGCGCCTGATCTCTGCTTGAAGCTGGTAGGCGTTGTGCCACACCACTGCGCATATTCGATCTTGCCGTTACCGAACCGAAAAGGCAGTCGGCACATGTAGAACCTGAGGTCCTCTATGGGATAGCCCTTCTGTCTGCAGTCCCTCGCGTAATCCTTGATCGTCTCTGAGCCGGACATGAGGGTCGTCGCTCCAGTCCATGACTCCGTTGCTAGCTCGCATTGCGCTGGTGTTGGCCTTGCTATGGCACCTGTCGCCCCAATAGACTCATCGACCATCACGCTGTCGTCGGCGTGGACCCGCTTCTTGTTGGGCGGCTCGGTGCAATCCCAAGCCCAGTGGCCGGGCTTGCCGCGTCGTAGGCAGTTGGCCGATGGCGTTGATGTTGGCACTGGTTGCGTCGCTGCCCTTGCTCTTCCCATTGGGTCCGCTGCCGTAGGTCGCGGTCTGCTTCGTGCGCCTGGAGGGGGTGATCCTTTGGGGCTGCCCTTTCCCCCTTCGGACATGCCGCGCCCTTTGGCGCCTGTGCTGCTTGACCGGCCTCGTCCGCGCGAACCCCCTGCTGATGCCGCGGCCGAACCTGCGCTCCCGCCTACCATCGCCACTACTGGGTAGAAGCCGCGCGCCAGCTTCAGGTCGTTGAACCCCTTCCTGGCTCCTGCGTAGGCTGCGTAGACTTCGTCGCGCTCGCCCGGGTTGAACTCTTGCGCCGTGTTGGGGTCGCGCGGGTAGTAGCTCTCTTCGCAGTCGCATCAGGTCTCGCCATCCTCCGCCCGGTACGTCTGGTCGTAGTCGTCTGGCTCGTCCTCAAGCTCGCCAGTATAGAACTCCTCGTCGTAGTACTCAGCTGCGCCCTCGTCGACGGAAAACTGCTTCCGTGCGTGATCCGCCTCGTGCACGATACTCCCCTGCCCGAATGTTGTCTCCAACGCCTCAATAACCTTCTCCCGTGCGAAATCCTTACCAACTGCTCACGTGATGACCGCCTTCTGGCCCGCGCTGCATCCTCCTCGTCGTAGCGCGAGCCAGCCTCGGACCTTCGCGGCAGCTCGATGCCGCGCGTCCTGAGCTGCCGCTCTGCTGCTCGCACTCGCGCTACGCAGGCGAACAGCGCCTCACCTTCGCACCGCCTGAACTTGAAGAAATACTCCTCGAAACCGTCCGCGAGCTCTGGCCTGTCGCCCATCTTGAACCGACTCCATAATCTGGCCATGAGCTGCTTCGCCGCGTTGGGCTCGATGAGCTCGTCTGCTGAGAAGTCCTCAACTTCGCCCCGCGCTTCTCCTGTGAGACCTGCACTGAGCATGAGAGCCGCTTCGCCCTCCTTCTTCTCCAGTGTAAGTTTCGCAATGAAAATCATCGCCCGTTTCCCAATTTCTCTCCATTTGCTGAGCGCGCCGTCGAACTGTGGAACTCCTCGCTCGGGTAGCATGTCCGCCATCGGCTTGGACACCCTGCTGAACTGCAACTACAAGGGGCTGGTGCCCGACGTGTGCTGCGCGAAATCGGAGCGCCCAAGTCTGCGGAGTCAAACGGGGACTGTCGACAAACTGACCAGGCGGTCTATGAGATCCGCCGCAGGGTCGAAGCCTATTATGGAGTTGGCGACCAGATCCGAAGGGAGGTCGCTGAAATATGGAAGGTCGAAGCACGAGCCTGGCTGACCAGGCTCCGCGACCAATATGAACTTATATAAAAATATTTGATGGCAACAATCAGAAAGAACAACCGACTAACATCTGATGATCTCTTCACACCGCTGGCGCGCTCGACTCAAGGGCCCCGAAGGGTTTGGGCCAAAACGTAACAGTACATTCGATCTGACCCAGTCCGGTTCTGCACAATACACAAGATGTGCAGCGTATACCGCACACGAGGCCATAAACCATCGTAGATTACACCATTGTCGCGACCCCGAAGCCGCAACTCACCGTAATTCATTCAATAATTGCGATCCCGAAACCATAAAAAGTTGTACATTACACCGTATTCGCGTCCCCAAAACCAGAATCCCTCGTAACTTACTCCGTAATCGCGCCCCCGAAGCCATAAACCAATGTAAATTACGCGATGGTTGCGTCCCCGACGCCATAAACTTGTGCAAAGTAAACATATCCGCCTTCCCGAAGCCATACATCCTCGCACATTACGAAATATTTGCGTCCCCGACGCCATACACTTTCATAAATTACACTAGATGTTCGCCCCGAGGCCGCAAACCCGCGTAAAATACACAAGGCTCGCGTCCCCGAGGCCATGCACCTTCGTAAATTATTTGACAAGCTTCGCGTCCCCGAGGTCAGAAGCCCTCGTACATTACGCTGTGGTTACGTCCCCGAGGCAAGACATCCTCGCAAAGTACGCAATATGTGCGTCCCCGATGCCAATTCTTCAGGCTTGCAGTGCAAACCGTACAATAAGATATTGGCCCTCGCGTGAAGTCCCGACATTGCGTCACATCAGCGCCCAGACATCCCAACACAGCTCCGGCAAGTCCCATTCTAAGAGAGGGGGCCGGCGGCAGGGGGCGAAGCCCTTACGGATATGCGGTTCATTCAGGCATGTATTCTCTTCCATGTCCTCGCTCTCGCGTTACCCTGCGAGACTGTCCCTGTCTTCCTCAGCTTCTCTTGCGGCCTTGGAAAGCTCCTTGGGGGCTTCCTGGAGGACTCCAGGGTGCCTGTTCGAGGCCTCTGAGAGCTTCCTCGGGCAGCCTTGCTGCCAAACATGGTCTGACCCTCAGGAGCAGGTTACGATATGGAGTGTTTCGTGGGAGCGTCTTGGGGCCCTCTTGGGTCGTCATGGGGCTCCAGGCCATCTTGGAACCCTGTTGGTCCATGTTGGGGTTCTCTTAGGCTGTCTGCAAATCCTTTTGGGTTGGTTGGGGACGATTGCCGCAATCTCTTGGGCGGTCTCGGACTCCCGAAGAACCCAGCATCCAACCATCATGCAAAAACCAGTGGCAAGTCATGTTTTCTGCGTTTGGAGAGCCTCTTGGGGGTGTTCTTTCGGCCGTCTTCGGGCGTCTGGTGGTTGTCTGAGGTCACTTGGGGCTCTCGCGAGGCCGTTTGAACATCCTCTGACTGCTTTGAGCCCGCTCGCTAAGCCCGGCGGGGACGTCCAGGAGACCCGGAAGCTCCGAGGAACCCTCTGCAAGGGCGTCTACGGGGGCCCAAGGGGGCTGCGGATCCCGAGGGTCCAGCTGGCGGATCCCGAGGGCCCAGCTGGGGGGTTCCCACGGGGGTCGACGACGAACGACGAGCGACGGACGACGAACGACAACGACGGACGACAGACGGCGAACGACGGACAACGAGCGACGGACGAGGGACGACGGACGAGGACGACAGACTAAGGACGATGGACGACGAACGACGGACGATGGGCGACGGACGACGGACGACGGACGACGCACGACGGAAGACGACGACGACGACGACGACGACGACCACGACCACCAACACCACGACGACGATGACGACGCCGGCGACAGCGACTGGTCTGGCCTGCTGGCCGCGTCGCGCAGCTGCACCCCGAAGGAACCGCCGACCGCCTCGAACAGCTGCGCCAGCAGCGCGCGGCACACCAGCGCGCGCCCCTCGGTGCGGAGGCCGCTGGGCCCGCGCACGTCAGCGGCGACGTCGTCGTCGTCGACGACGACGACGACGACTGCGATACGGGGATCCATCCATAACCACCGCCTGTGGGTCGATCTTCGGGGACCTCAGCAGACGGTGATGTGGATGCATCCCCGTCTCGGAGCGACGGCGACGGCGGAGGCAGCGGGTCGTCGGCATCTTCGTCTCGGAGGTGCGCTCGCGCGCTGGCGCGGCAGCGGCGCCTAAGAATATTCGAAGGTCGAGAGCCGAGGGCAAGATCTGTCTCGCGCCTCAAGGGCGAGAACAACGTCAGGACACGACTCCTCTGAGCCTCTGCTGGGAGGCGATAGAGGGGAACGGGCTCAGGGGGGGGAAACATCGACCTGGAATCGGTGATACATCGCTGATAGATCGGCGATGGGCCCCCGATAGCGAAGCCACACGCTCCTGGGCGGGGCGGGCCATCAGGGGCCCTCTCGGCGGTGGGTTGGCGATTGGGGGTCGATGCATCCCACCCTGAGCCTTCCCCCGCTAACGTTGCCCCCGAGAGAGCAGTGTCACGATACGACTGGCTCAGGAGGCGTTCACGCTCCTGGCGATTCGTGGCCCCTGGCCGTGATATTCACAAGGCCATCCACGGCGACGGCAAAACCGAAAACAGACCGAGCCGACAGCGAGACCCAAACCGACAGGCCGCAGGAAGCCTAGAGAATGGCGCAGCGACGAAGCAACGACACAACAGCCCGACGAACCGAACCAGACCGAACGCCACCGAATGCGACGCCAGCCGAAGCGCCCGCACCGCGAACACCCTTGGACATCATCATGGCCCCCGCCATGATATGCCAACCCCCCCACCCCTACAACCTCCCTTGGAATCGAACGCACGATTGTATCCAACCCCCTCGCCCCCGAAATCCCATGCTGATCGAAGCGCGCAATGCGGCCCGCGGGGTCCGAAAAAAAATGCTGTCGCCAATTTCGGCATGAACATTGAAATCGGGGGTCGGGGAGCGCCGCCATGTCGCGGGAAAAAAATCGCGTTTGATTTCGAGGAAGAATTGAGGGGGCAACTACTGGGAGGTTTTCGTCGGAAAGATTAAGGAGGATTAAGCCCCATTTGGGAACTGTTACGCCGGAGTGGGCCTCGGATTAAGCGGGATTAAGCCGGATTAAGCGGATGAAGCGGGATCAAGCCGGATTAAGCCGGCCTTCGGATCAGTGCAAAATCAGAATTTGACCTCCCAGGAGTTGCATCCCAAAAGGATGTGGCCATCAACCCCCTCCTGGCCGCCCCTGGCCTGAGCCCCTGCTCCCTCCTCAGCCGGCCCCCCGAGGGCGCCCTCGGTGGCCGCGGCTTCAGGCCGGCACAGCTCGGACGGGCCAGGATGGCCCACTGGAGGGGACGGACGGGGAGGAGGAGGAGGAGGAGGAGGAGGAGGAGGAAGAGGAGGAGGAGGAGGAGGAGCAGCGCTCCACGAGGAGGAGCAGGATGAGGAGGAAAGGAGGAGGAGGAGGGAGGGAGGGGGAGGAGGAGGAGGAGGATGAAACGAGGAGGAGGAGGACGAAAGGAGGAGTAGGAGGAAGAGGAGAAGGCGGTGGAGAAGGAGGAGGACAAATGCAAACCCAAGACTCATCAACGACGTTGGAATACACTCCCTCCAAGCTCCTTCTAAATAGGCCTCGACAAAGGTTCATACCCACTGAAGAACTTGCCCCGTAGGGGGGGGGGGGGGGGGGGGGGGGGGGGGGGGCAACCGTGTGAAAATCCTGAAGCGTGCCAAAACACCATTCTCAGAAGACCAACGCCACGAATTGCTCTGACTGGCACGTCTGGGCGATCCTGAATCGTGCAGGGCACCATTCCTGGGACTTCAGCACCGCGAATCAGAATAACTGTTGCGCCCTGACAATCCTGAACCGCTCCAAAACACAGTCTCTGGTACGCTAACCCAGGGAATACGTGAAAATCTTGCGAAATTTCAAAACGAATGTGCGCGGCGCTAAAAGCGAGAGCCACACTTTGAAAACCAACCGCCCTCAACCGGTGAAACTGTTGCAATGTTTGACAACGAATTTGCGCGGCACTGAGGCGAGAGCCACATTTTGAAAACGACTCGCCCTCAATGAGTGAAACTGTTGCAATGTTTGAAATCGAATGTGCACGGCGCAAATTCGAGAGCCACATTTTGAAAACGACCCGCCCTCAATCCGTGAATATCTTGCAAATGTTGAAGACGGATGTGCGCGGCGCTAAAAGGAGAGCCACATTTTGAAAACCACCCGCCCTCCATCTGTGAATATGTTGCCAATGTCTCAGCTTCAGGATCAAAAACGGTGAGGAAGTCTCAACCGAAACGCCGGGCCCGTCCTTTCGACCGGCCCCGGGGTGCGACAGGGAGGAGTTGTTCTTGAAGGCAAAAATAGGAGGAGGAGGAGGAGGAGGAGGAGGAGGACGAGGGGGAGGGGAACGGGCTGGAGAAAGAGTAGGAAAACCCTGCCCCGGCGACCCCAAGCGGGGAGCGCGCCTCCCCGCCGCCGCGGGCCCAGCACGCCGCGCCCTCCAGCAGCCTCCACGCCTTCGTCGGCGGGGCGGGCGCGCCGCCCCAAGGGCCGTCGCAGCCCGCGCCCCGCAGCGACGGCGGCGGCGACGGCGACCACGACGGCGGCGACGGCGACACCGACAGCAACGGCAACCGCGCCTCGCCATGACGGCGACGGCCACGGCGACGACGTCGTCGCCGTCGCGGTCGCCGTCGGCATTGTGGACGTCGTCGTCGTCGTCGTCGTCGTCGTCGTCGTCGTCCACGTGATCGTCGTCGTCGTCGTCGTGGTCATCGTCGTTGTCGTCCGCGCCCGCTGAAATGCCGCTCCTCCGCCCCAGAGGAGCAGGAGCCCCAAACAACTGAGATTCGACCCTTGGTCTGGATGTCGCCGTCGTTGATAAAGTGATGTCAACGTGATGGTGGTGGTGGTGGTCGTCGTCGATATCAGCCAAATCGTCGACGTTGTCCACGTGGTGGTCGTCGTTGGAAACGTGGTCGTGTTCATTGTCAACTCGGTGGTGGTCGTCGTCGTCGTCCACGTCGCCCATGCCGTCGTCATCGCTGTTGTCCACGCGGTCGTCCTCGTCCTCATCCTCGCCGTCGTCCTCCTCGAAATCGTCCTCGACCTCGGCCTCGTCGTCGTCGTCGCCGTCTTCGTCGTCCTCGTCGTCGTCCTCGTGCTCGTGCTCGTGCCCGTCGTCGTCCTCGTGCTCGTCCTCGTCGTCGTCCTCCTTGAACTCGTCCTCGACCTCGTCCCCCTCGTCGTCGTCGCCCGCGCCCGCCCTGGAGGCTCAGAACTCAAAACCTCCAAAGACCGAATATCGTTCTCAGTTCTGGATGTCGGCCTTCGGATGCTTGGAAACGGACCAACAAAACACCAACACGGGGGGGGGGCCTCCACCGGGGAAAGCTCGTGATCCCACATGTCGAAGGCAGTGGTACAATGTCGGCCAGCTACAGCCGGTTTCAAATTCCTGTTTTGAATATACAGTCCCACGCGAAGTCGTATAAATCCCAGCTGCCCTGTGGGCGTGAGTGGTTTCGAGCCTTTCCTCTTCCAACCCCCGTCTCCCCCTTCGGGAAGGGATGTACCACTGCTCCTTGGTAATATACCCCCCCCACCCGCCCCGCAGCAAACCCGAAACAACGCGGGCATCCCCGCCACCACTGACAAAACATATCCTGACGATCTACCCAACCCTTGCGCAACGCATGGCCAGAAAAGCTGGCCCGACTTTATGGGGGGTGGTAACGTGGCAGGAGGATACATGTTCTGCGAAAGGTCTGCGGGAAGCTCGCGAGGTGCGCGGCCCGCATGACACCGATCAATGGACACGGGCTTGATGGAGGTGATTAGGTAGTTCTCTGGGTCGAGGGGAAAGCGGGGCGAGGACCAAGAGGAGAAGGCGGAAAGGGAGTTGGAAACGTAAGCGGGGCAGCAGCAAGGGTACATGGCAGCAGCACGAGAGTGACGACAAAAGGCGGCCAGAGGAAGGATAGAGATGATGTTGTTTCGAAATATGCACACCATCAGCCCCCAAAAAGTGGCGACAATTTCGCATATCACCCCCCACGAGGATGGAGAGGTCTAATATGAATCTGCGTAAGATCTCCACTAAGCTGGGCACCCCAGCAGACCTCGAACGTGGAGACCATTTTGCAGATCGCAGCTCCCCCCACCCCCCGGGATGGTGAGGTCTAATATGAATCTGCTTAAGACGTCACTCCGCTGGCCGCTGGAGCCCCTAGCAGCCCTCGAAGGTGGCGACAGTTTCGCAGTTCGCAACCCTCCAAAGATGGCGAGGTCCCGCTCTGATCTGCGCAGCACAGTACTAAGCTGCCCCCCCAAGCAGCCCTCGAACGTGGCGACAGTTTCGCAGATCGCAGTCACCCAGGGATGGCGAGGTCTAGTCTGAATCTGCGTAAAACGCCACTCCGCTGGAGCCCCAGCAGCCCTCGAACGTGGCGACAGTTTCGCAGATCGCAGTCACCCAGGGATGGCGAGGTCTAGTCTGAATCTGCGTAAGACGCCACTTCGCTGGAGCCCCAGCAGCCCTCGAACGTGGCGACAGTTTCGCAGATCGCAGCCCCCCAGGGCTGGCGAGGTCGAATCTTACTCTGGATGGGGCCCCACTGTGCTGGCCTCCCCGGCAGCCCTCGAAAGTGGCGACAAGTTCGCAGATCGCAGCCCCGTAGGGATGGCGAGGTCTAATCTGAACATGGGTAGGGCCCCGCTGCGTTCCCCCCCAGCAGCCCTCGAAAGTGGTGACAATGTCGGAGATCGCAGTCCCCCAGGGACGGCGAGGTCTGATATGAGTCTGGGTGGGGCCCCTGTGCTGGCCCCCCCAACAGCACTCGAACGTGGCGACAGTTTCGCAGATCGCAGCCCCCAGGGATGGCGAGGTATATCCTGGGTCTGCGGCGGGTACCCACTATGCAAGCCCCTCCAACAGGCCCTGAAAGTTGCGACAGTGCCGCAGATCGAAGCCCCCCAGGAACGGCGAGGTCAATTCTGGATCTTCGGTGGGTACCCACTGTGCTGCCCCCCCCCGAGAGGCCTCGAATGTGGCGACAATTTCGCAGATCGCAGCCACCCAGGGATGGCGAGGTCGAGTCTGGATCTACGGCGGGTGCTCACTATGCTGCCCCCCCCCAGCGGGCCTCGAAAGTGGCTACATGTTCGCAGACGCAGCCACCTAGGGATGGCGAAGTCTAATCTGGATCTGCGGCAGGTCCACTATGCTGCCCCCCGCAAAAGGCCTCGGAAGTGAAGATCGTGTTGCAGATCGCAGCCCCCCAGGGATGGCGAGGTCACGCTCTGATATGCGTAGCAGCGCTTAAACTGCCTCCCCCCCCAGCAGCCCTCGAAACTGGCGACAGTTTCGCAGATCGCAGCCCCCCAGGGATGGCGAGAGCGGGAGGCGGGAGGAGGACGTGGAGACCAGGGTGCTCCATTCAGTACGCGGACCCTGCAACGGAGAATAGGTTAGGCTCGGGGGGCCCGCGAGCACGCCGTAGAGTTTTTTGTTGGCAGGGGCGGCAAGGGTGCCAGCAAATGGCCAGCCGTGCGTAGGGCCACTACCCCTGCCAACAAACAATAACAACTACACATCGAGGCTCCATGCGGGTCATGCGCGGGCAGCCCGCGATCGCTTTGCGCAGGTGTTTGACAGGAACGGCGGGGGTGATGAAGCATGACCTGCTGTGCGCAGGCCCACCAGGCATCATGATGCCCACTCCCTCGCGCTCTTGCATGGTGTTCGGCAAATATCGTTGGGTGCGACATGTTCTCGATGTGCGCGGGCGCGCCTGGCACACTCTGCGCGTGCCCCGAACGTGGCGCACCTGCGCGGATGGAGCATGCGGCACACTTGGCGCATGTGGCGGACATGGTGCACCAGGCGAGCCTGGCACGCTTGGGCCGTGGGCACCCGGCGCGCCTAGTGCAAGTAGCGCCCCTGGCACTCGTGGCGCCCCTCGCCCGAAGGTCGCGCACCTGGGCATCGTTTTGGTTCCCAGAAACTACCACATCCAAAGACGACCGCTGAATATGCTAAGACTCGGGTGTTACTTATGCCGTGGGATGACGGGTGCGAAAGAGCCAAGCCGTTTGCGTCTGGGAGGTGTCTTGATCTACGCTCCTTATCAATATGCACCCTCCCCCCACCTGACCAACGACAAACCCGGGACTACGCGGCCCCACCCACCTGGCATCCCTGCCACAAATCAATGCCAAGTCCACCTTGCGGCACCGCCTGGACTGTGCGCGGGCGCCCCGTAAGCACTTTGCATGTGTTCCCAACCATTATGTGGTGTTGGGTCCTCTTTTTGAAAAGACAGCGCCCCGCGTCTCCCACCTCCCCCTCTCCTCTCATCATGCTCTCCCTCCTCCCTCCTCCTCCTCTCTACTCCTGCCTCTGCCCTCCGCACCAGTCAAGCATTTCGGCACACCCCTCACACGTTTCGTGGCCCTATAGGGTAGTGGATGCCATGACTACGCAAGGTTGAACAGTCCCATCATCGAATTACTGATGTATTATAATGTGTGCTTAATATTTGTTTGACGTCCTCCGTCCGCCCGGGGGAATGTAGCACCTTCAAAACATATGCAGAAACCTATGATGTGTAGTGTCAGTGTTGTTTAAGATGTGGTTTGAATAGTTGCCGATCGCACAGTAAAAAAACGTTCAAACAACCTGATCGAACCATAAACAGTAGCTCGTATGTTGCTGTAATATTGCTTGATGTGATTTTAATGTGTTAAACATACGTTTACATGCGTGTTTGTAACATGTCCCGACGATTCCCCCGCGGAGGTGGACATTCATAACACATGTAACAACATTGACAGCACATATGGAAACTATAGGGCAGCATGCCTCCTCTCCATTGGTGGGCAGGCCCCAGTGGCTGCGTTCGCATGCGCCCGCAGCACCCATTTCGGCACACCCATCACACGCTTGGTGGCCCCATAAGGAGCTGCAGGGGGTTCCACCGAAGGCCCCAGTGGCTGCGTTCATATGCGCCCGCCGCAAGCTGCCCCCAATGTGCCCTCAGGAGGCGCACAAGAGGCCCCGAGAGGCTCCCAATATGCCCTCAGGAGGCGTTCGAGAGGCGCCTCAGGATATCCTCCTCCTCTTCTTCCTCCTCATCCTCATCCTCCTCCTCCTCCTCCTCTTACTCCTCCGCCTCCTCCTCCTGCTGCCTGGCGGGCTGGTGAAGCACACACGCGCAGCGTCCTGGGGGAACTTGAGACTGCATAAATCCACCTTTGCCGGGGAGTGGTGGGTGCGGTTCGCTACATGCCTGGGGTCCTGTCCGCCCCAGGGTCAGTCTCAACACACTCGGGTCACCTCGCACCACATCGTGGTCGTGGGAGAGGCTCATGGATACGTGCCACCTGGCCCCAACGGGGACCTGCGGGGATGGTTCTGGGCACCGATAAGCATCGCGCCAGGTGGCCCGCCTGTGCGGCCGAGGGTGTTCTAGGATCCCGACCTGCAGAGGCAGGCGGAGGCGTGGGTCGGAGCTCG